GGCCCTGACTAAGTTGCGAGGAAGTCTCAAGCGGGAGCGCCGTTCCTGAGCAAATTGCACGGAAGTCTCAGGCGGGAGCGGGGGTCCTCACTAAATTGCGAGGAAGTCTCAGGCGGGAGCGCCGTTCCTGAGTCAATTGCGCGGAAATGTCAGGCAGGAGCGGGGGTCCTGAGTAAAATTCGAAGAAGTCTCAGGCGGGAGCGCCGTTCCCACGTAAATTGCACGGAAGTCTCAGGCGGGAGCGGGGGTCGTGATTACATTGCAAGGAAGTCTCAAACGGGAGCGCCTTTCCTGAGTAAATTGCGCGGAAGTCTAAGGCGGGAGCAGGGGTCCTGAGTAAAAATCGAGGAAGTCTCAAGCGGGAGCCGTTGTTGTTGTAGCCCGGGGGGCAGGGGCACAGTTGAGCAGGAAGTTTTCTTTTGAGAAAAAAAAGGTCGAGCCCCGGGGGTGGCACTCTCAATCAAACAAATTAATGTGCACCGGTGGGGGACGGTTGCACAACAATATACAAATTCTATCAAGAGTGAGAGTTCAACAACAACAAAACAAAATCCGCATCGCGGAATTCCACTCAGCCAGAGGCCACCCAGGACAGGAATGCAACCGTTGGTCAGCCCCTCACTCTGACACGCACACACATCTATATAATATATTAATAATATATATATATATATATATATATATATATATATATAGATATGGTGCGTGCGGCGCATGAATCTGTAAATTCGTTATGAAAGAGCGTGTTTCTACCGCTGCTGGCGGAAAACGGGGGGGTCACTACCGGTTCGAACCCCTCCCCCCCCCCCCCTTCCGGAAAACCCGGGGGGGTCACTACTGGTTCGAACCCCTCCTCCCCCCCCCACAGCTCATCATGAAAAGGGGGGGGGGTCACTACCGCTTCGAACCCCCCCCCCCACCCCCCTCGGAAAACCGAGTGGAGAGGTGCGACAGTGGTGGAGAGGACGGGGTGAGATGCGCGCCAGATGGTGAGGGACATGGAGAAAAGTGGGGGGACAGTGGACCAGTGGTTGGGCGACGGTACTGGTAGGGGACAGTGGATGGGGGGACAAGGGTAAGGGAACAGGGGCCAGTGGCCAGTGGTGGGAAACGTAGGTGGTGGCGGACAGTGGTGTGGGTGTTGGGGACAGTGGCGAAGGGTGGAAACACTGGACAGTGGAGGGTACAATGGGTGCGAGACACTGCTAAGGCGGTGGCGAGGACGGCGGTGGGACAATGGGACAGAGGTACAGTGGGGACAATGGTGGGGACAGTGGGGACAGTGGTGGAAACAGTGGGACAGCTCAGTGGGACAGCGGAGGAGTCAGTGGGACAGTGGGGACAATGGGGATAGGCAGTGAGTGGGTCCGTGGAGACAGTGGGGAGAGTGGAACCGTGGTGGGAACAGTTGTGGGAACAGTGGGGACAGTGCGACAGTGGTGGGGGCACTGGTGGGGACAATAGGGACGGTGGTGGAACCAGTGGGGACAGTGGTGGTGAGGACAGTGGTGCTGGGAACAACAGTGGGGGATGTGGTGTGGACGGTGGTAGGGACCGGGAGTCGTTTGCTGGCGGTGAGTGGGGGGGGTGGGGAGGGGTTCGAACCGGTAGTGACCCCCCCTCCGGTTTTTGAGGGGGGGGGAGGTTCGAACCGGTAGTGACCCCCCCGGTTTTCCGGATCTCGCGAGGGGGGAAGGGGGGGGGGGGGGGGGGGGGAGGGGTTCGCAACCGCAGTGACCCCTCCGTTTCGAGGGGGAGGGAGGGGGGGGGGGAGGGGGGGGGGGGGGGAGGGGTTAGGGAGGGGGTGGTTTTGCCTGAGGGCAGGGGGGGGGGGGGGAGGCGGTTCCAGCAGGGGGGGGGGATTTTCGGAGGGGGGGGAGGGGGGGCCCCCGGATTCCGGAGGAAAACGGGGGGAAATTTTCCACAGTAAAGCGGCGGTGGTTCACGCTCTCTACCGCTGCTGGCGGAAAACCTGAGGGGGTCACTACCGGTCGAACCCCTCCCCCCCCCCCTCCAGAACACCGGGGGGAGGTCACTACCGGTTCGGAACCTCCCCCCCCCCCCCCTGCTCATCATGAAAAGGGTGGGGGGTCACTACCGGTTCGAACCCCTCCCCCCCCCCCCCTCCGGATCCGGAAAACCGGGGGGGGTCACTACCGGTTCACACCCCCTCCCCCCCCTCGAAAACCGAGCGGGGGTGCGGACAGTGGTGGGGACGGTGTTGGTGGGGACAGTGGTGAGGGGACAGCGGGACAGTGGTGGGGACAGTGGGACAGTGGGACAGTGGTGGGGACGGTAGTGGTGGGGACAGTGGTGGGGACAATGGTGGGAACAGGGGGGACAGTGGACAGTGGTGGTGACGGTGGTGGTGGGGACAGTGGTGTGGGGACAATGGGAATGAGGTGGAAACAGTGGGACAGTGGAGGGTACAATGGTGGTGGGGACAGTGGTGAAGGCGGTGGCGAGGACGGCGGTGGGACAATGGGACAGAGGTACAGTGGGGACAGTGGTGGGGACAGTGGGGACAGTGGTGGGAACAGTGGGACAGCTCAGTGGGACAGCGGAGGAGTCAGTGGGACAGTGGGGACAGTGGGGATAGTCGGGCAGTGGTTGGGGCCGTGGAGACAGTGGGGAGAGTGGAACCGTGGTGGGAACAGTTCTGGGGACAGCGGGGACAGTGCGACAGTGGTGGGGCCACTGGTGGGGACAGTAGGGGCGGTGGTGGAACCAGTGGGGACAGCGGTGGTGAGGACAGTGGTGCTGGGAACACCAGTGGGGGATGTGATGCGGACGGTGGTGGGGACCGGGAGTCGTTTGCTGGCGGTGAGTAGGGGGGGGGGGGGGGGGGGGGGGGGGGGGGGGAGGGGGGGGGGGGGTTCGAACCGGTAGTGACCCCCGGTTTTTCCGGATCCGGAGGGGGGGGGGGGGAAGGGAGGGGTTCGAACCGGTAGTGACCCCCCCCGGTTTTCGAGCGGGAGGGGGGGGGGGGGGAGGGTTAGGGGAGGGGGGGGGTTTTGCTGGGAGGGAGGGGGGGGGGGGGGAGGGGTTCCAGCAGGGGGGGGGGGGGGATTTTCGGAGGGGGGGGGGGGGGCGACCCCCGGGCTCCGGAGGAAAAGGTTGGCAATTTTCCACAGTAAAGGGGCGGTGGATCACGCTCTCTCATATATATAGATATGGTGGTGGGCGCATGAATCTGTAAATTCGTGATGTACAACATGTAAACACACATGGTAAACTGACAAGCTTTGGGGTCGAGTGTTCCCCGCCTCCTCCCCTTCCTCCTCTCTTTCCCTCCCTCCCTCTCTCCTCGCCCTCCTCCTCTTCCTTTTTTTTTGTTTTTCCTCCTGCTCGCCCTCCTCCGCCTCCTCCTCCTCCTCCTCCTTTTCCTCCTCCTCCTCCCCCACTCCCTTTCCTCATTCGCAAGTCCTCTCTGTCGCACAACAGGACGGGTCGGTAGGGTGGGCCGGGGGTTTCGCCTGGGATGTCCTCACCACCCCTGATCCTGAAGCCTTAGATGTTCAGAAATATGGGTCTTGCTGTAGCACCGTGCACATTCGTCTGAACTGCTTGCAGCAAATCCACGGGGGAATCCACGGGGGAGAAGTGGGTAGTTTTCGAATTGTGGCTCTTGCCTTAGCGCCGCGCACACTCGTCTTGAAAGTTTCAGCGGTTCGACGGATGGAAGGCGGGTCCATTTTACAAGGCGGTTCTCGTCATCGCGCCGTGCGCGTTCGTCTTGGACTTTTCATTACAGCTGCACAGACGGACGGCGGGCCCGTTTCAAAAGGTGGCTCGCCACAGCGTCTTGCGCGTTCGTTTGGACAACTGTTTTGTAACAGCTTCACGGGTGCACGGCGGGCCCGTTTCAACAGGTGGCTCTCGCGTTCGCTTTTCGCGCGATCGTCTGAAATGTTTACAACAGTTTCACGAATGGCGAGGGGTTCAACATGTGGTTCTCGCCTCAGCGTCGCGCGCATTCGTCTGGAGAGTTTTTGCTACAACCAGTTCACGGATGGAGGGCGAGCCTTTTCAAACTTGGAGCTCTCGCCTTCGTGCCGCACACACGTGTCTTAAGAGTTTGCAGCAGCTTCGCGGGTGGAGGCCTTCTGGGGGCCTCTGCAGGCCTCTAGTTGATGACTCCAGGGGGGCGGAACCAAAATCGCCCAAACGGTTGCACAGAAAGACTCAGGGAGCCTCGGACGATGACAAGAAAGATGACAACATAAATGAAAGCTGCAACACGGGCATACACATGCAAAGATACAGCAGAGGCCGTTGTAGACACAACCCCGCATAAGGAGTCGGATACCTAAATACAGAACAAAGCACGCAATTACTTTTAATCACAAGACAGCTCGCCGCTTGGGCCCCACCGCCAGCCCAAACGGCGAGCATAAATCGGCCGTAGCCCCGCACGCATTCGAATGCCCACACTGCGTCCTCGTACTACTCGTATTCCTCCCCGTCCACCTCCCAAAAACTGCTCAGGACAGGAATTTGGTCCTTGGAAAAAGGTCCAGACCTTCGGGGAGCCACGTTGGAAAACAAAAACACGACGTCGGATGTCTGGGGAGGGGGTGACGGGGCCATATCGGTTCGGAAATGTTGTGAGGACGGGGAGGCGTGTTTGAGAGCAATTTTAGTTAGATTCTGGCAGGTGCCTGGCGTGGCAGTCCCCCCCCCCTCGAAGCCACTTCAAACAGCGCTCGGCCGAAGATAGGTGCAAGTGTGTCCCGACTCCCCAAAGCTCCTTTCGGGCCTCGCCCCGCCCCCCTCCTGATCAGGGGTGTATGAAATCCCGCCTACGGGCTGCCTTGAGACTGCAGAGGCACTGCCCACGAGCCTGGGAAGCGCTCCCTGGGAGCTCTGCAAACGCTTGCAGCACACGCTTTCCGGGAATACCCCGAGCACTTGTTCCCAGGTAGCTCCGCAGGGAGATAAAAGTAAGCCTGCCGCGGTCCGAAGAAAAGCTGCATCTCTGCGACTGGGCCCCGCCGGAGGCAGTGCTGTGGCCCGGAGACGGGGGTGGGCACCATGACCGACTTCCCCCCATCCGACGACGAGGACGACTTCGTCGTGATCGAGGCGCTCCCGTCTCACGGGGGGTGTTGTTCGGGCTGTCTCTCCATCAGGCTCCTCCTTCCCGCTCCTCAGTTTCTTCGTCGCCTCCCTTCCCTCGCATCCCTCGTCGTCGCCTCCCCACTCCTCATCGTCCTCCCCACCTCACTTGTTCTCCCCACTCCTCTTCCCTTTCCCTTCTCTTCCTCGTCCTCTCATCTCCCCCATCCCCAGACCCCCAACACCCACTTCCGTAGAACATCAGCTTCCGTCTTCTTTCCTCCATATATTCCTTGTCCTCCTCCTCCGCACACTGGAAGATACCGAAACATTATGCATCGTGGTATATAGTTCTGAAAGAGCGCGTTATGTGAGGGCTGAGGAGGGGGGGGGGTGTTCGAACCGGGGGGGGGGCACCCCCACTGAATTGCAGGGGGGGGGTCGAACCGGCCCCCCCCCCACCCTGAATTGCCAGGAGGGGTATCGCAGCGACCTCCCGCCCCCCCTTCCCAGTGGTAAACGACGACGGCGAGCACGGGCGCTGGCGCCAGCGCCGTCGGGCAGCGACGACGACGTCGACGACGACGTCGACGACGACGACAACAACAACGACAACGACAGCGACAACGATGACGACGACAACGATGACGACAGCGACGACGACAGCGAGGACGACGACAACGACGATCAGATCTCGTTGATCCCAGCTGAAGCTTTAGAAATGGAATTCTTGGTTGTGTTAGCCAGCAGCGCCGAACATGACGGCGAACTAGCTGACCGCGACATGAAGTCTAGATTGGGCGACTGGCGGACACGGGTTGCCTCTCAGGCGGGCCATGGGGCTGGAGGCCTGTCAGCCATCGCGCGTGTGAAGACTGCGCGGCGGCCTTGTCAGTGGGATCACGAGAGGCCCCGCTTCCCAATTAACAAGTCGCGCGAGATGGATCTTCCGCAGCAGGAGTGGCCCAGGCGGCGCAAGGTAGGGACGTGGCACGAGGCTGCAAGCTGCCCCGCGGACCTTGGCGAAAAGCCTCCCAGGCCGAGCGTGGAGCATCGGCGCAATGTCCTGCAGACATCGGAAAAGTCATCAGGCGTAGGGTTTGACCCCACTAGGCCACGTCAACTGTTGGAGCAGGGTGGCGACGCCCTCAAGTGTTTCGTTGGTTGCACCATGGCAGTGGCGAGTTCCGCACGCCGGCCTATATTTTGCATTGAGGCCGCGTTTCGGCTGAAGCGCTTAGAAGGACTTCGGCAGATTGCTCCCATGCTCGCGTTGGCTAGGGCGCAGGCGCGTCCGAGGAGACCTCTGGCGGCGTTTTGGGAGCAGGCGAACGAGGGACAGTACTCATGGGCGTGTGCTGAACGTTTTTTGTTCAGGGCGACATGGCTGCAGTCTGCTTGGGCTGAGTGGACCACCAGCAATGCTTGTGGGACCTCGACAGGGCTCCGGCCCGCTGGGCAGGTCCTCTTGGGCCCCCTGAAGGCCTTCGAGCAGGTGCAACACCGCTGGCTGTTGCATGCGACGCTGGAGACGGGGTTTCCTCTCTGGGAACTGAGGCGCCAAGTGGTACTCTACAGGGCACCGAGTTCTTCGCGTTGGGTTCTGTGGTTTCCGCGACTACTGAGTTGGAACAGGCGGTTCTTCAAGGTGGTGGGTGGGCTGGGTGCTGCGCTGGGAAAGCTGGCGCCAATTCTGCCCTTGGGTCGGATCTGGAGCACGCATGGGAATGTCATGCCCGTTGTCGTCGCGAGCGAAAAGATGTTGCAACGCGCGGGGGGGCGCGGTCGCGTCATTCGCGAGCTGGCGGGAGGGCGCAGGCGCTCGGGTGCATGGGCCTCGCGCGGCCGCCGAGCCATCGCAGGAACTGGCTGGGTCGACCTTCGAAGGAGATGTTATTAATATTCCGGGAGTGCAGCCGCTGTATCTGATTCGGTCGTTTGGGCGCGCTGCGAATGCGCGGCCGCGGGCATGCGTTTCCCTTGAGGATGTCGCGGGACATCTGTCGGCAATCGTTGCCTGGGAACACCTGGTCGCGATGATCAGCGCTGGCGGGAAGGCATAGAACCAATTGGTCTCATGCGCGCCCGATAGCAGTCGGAGGGCAGTGGCCCATGTCTAGGAAGCTTGGCGCAAGATTCGCTGACGATGGTGAATGTCTGCTGTGCTCGGAAGAAGGCATTTTGCGGCGCCCGTCTTTTTTCCGCGAAAGTGCGGGCGCGCCTGTTTTCCCACGCTGACGCGGTCGACGAGCACCCTGTAAGAACTTGGTTTGGGCGATGCTCGCGGGCCTATTGTCCTGCCCTTGCAGGCCGCAGGCCGCCGCGTGGAGCTCGGGGCGCAGGCGCGATGCGGGCGCGGGAAGTCCATCTGGATAGTTCGGCATAGCAAGGGGAGCTGGGCGGCGGGGGCGGCGGCGGAAGCAGCGATTGTGACTGTCTCGCATGTGTCGCTTAGCGTTCAGGACGCTGATTTCGGTCTCGGCGCGGGCCCCGCGCGGGGAATCGGCGGCGCCGAGCTGCGGGGGCCGATCCAGCTTCTCACGATTCAATCTCCGCTCGCCGAGCTGGTCGCTGACAGCCCACGCGTTGTTCAAAGTGTCTATGAGCGCATTCGAGCGAAGACGCCGACTCTCTGATGCGCCCGGGCTTCGCCGCGGAAGGCCATCTGGGACCTACTGGGCGCATTCGGGGGCTCCGGGTCCGAAGGGGCTCGAGGCGCGGGGGGCTGGCGCGCGCCTGCTTCGCGAAGCCGTCCTCTGGGGCGAGGGTTCCAGGCGGGGCAGGTTTGGCAATGGCAGCGCCGACGTCTGGGCCAGTCGCAGCGTTGCTCGAACGCGCGCGCCTTAGGATGCGAGGACTGCCGCGCTTGAGGCAGAGGCGCCGGTGGAGCTGGCGGCCCGCTGGATCGGAACCATCGGCGCAGTCCTTGACAATCGCGACTGCGGCATGGCAAGACACTCCGCTCGACCAACCCGGCCTCGCGGAGCGGGCGGTCGGACGGAGCCTGCCGCCGCCGCGTTGCACGATGCGGTGGCGTCGGTGACGCAGGGTTTCTGCGCCTGGGCAAGCTGATTGCCCCGGCTCGTCTGCTGAGCGGGCGATCCTTCTAGATCTCTGCTGGCTTGTGAGTGTTTCGGCTGTCGGAAGAATCAGAGCTGGCACTCGCGTTGTAAGCGTTGGGGGCATGAGCTCGCAAGTTGTCGTTGTGGTTCGTGTCGCAGCCCGTCTGCTGGTTGGTTCTACTGCGACAAAGGGAATGGCAGCGGTAGTTATCGCAGCGGCAAGAGGGGGCCTGGCAATTGGCGCAGCGCCCCGTCTCAGCGGCAGGTCAGAGCTGACCAGATGCAGAAGTTGGTGAGCATGGGTGACGAGCAGATCGAGGCGGTTGCTATCTCCATGTCTGGGCCCCAGCAGCGGGGGCTCTCGAAGTTGCGCGCCGCGCGCAGTGGGTGCCCCAGCGCAGCGTCCAGGCTGGCGCAGCAGCAGCATTCTGACATTCGTGCCGAACTCAAAGAAGGTGGAGAAGGCCGAGGTGCAGCTGCCTCCGCACTTCCAGCGCGCGGCGCAGCTTCGCGCCTCGATTGAGCAGCCTGGGCGGGACGAGAAGCGCTGCGCCCGGCGGCCTGCTCAAGCGCGGACCAGATTCGCGGGCGAAGACCCCCTCGATGTCAAGGCGCCCGAGGAGGCCATCTTTCGCAGTTTCAGCGGTCTTGGCCCCGCCATCAGCATTCAGTTCAGGGGCTTGGTCAATGCTCGGGGCCGCGTTCGGCATCGAGATCGGCGTCCAGCAGCTGGCGGCGCGGCAGCCTCAGGCTCGGTTGTTGCCCCGGTCAGTCCCGGCCTACTTGATGGGCCTCCTGCAGGTGCTGAAGACCTACCTCCTGCGGACACTGCTGAGAGCAAGGTAGCCCAGTCGGTCTCCGACTCCGACGCGGCCTCAGATGGCGCCGACGACTTATTCGCAGAGGCCGACGAGGTTGTGCACCAGACTGCGGTGCTACTGGTCAAGCAGCATGCCCCAGACCAGCATCAGCAGTTCATTCATCATAATCATCATGTGGGCTTTCTCTGCAGCGATGTCGTGGGCTCGCGCACTCCGTGGCTGAGTCAATCCAACGCGCGCGTAGAGAGGATCAGTTGGAACACCATGAATAAGAAGCAGAAGTCGGATCTTTAGCAGCTATGCAGTCGAGAAGAGGAAGGCTGAGTGGGTCTTCCCCGCCGCCGACGTCTTGACGCGGTCTAGCGTTGAGCGCGTGCAGGAGGGTGGATCGCAGTATGCTTGTATCGGAGTGCGGGAGACACCTCGCGCGCTCCCAGTGTGATTCGCACGAAGATCAACTTAGGAGGTCGTGTCTCCTGGGGCTCGCAAAAGTACGGAGGGGGAGGCTGGGTTTCTTGCCGCGCTCGCCCCGAAACACAGCGGCCTCTCCGGCGCCCAGGGCCTCGACGCTGCGATCTGGCCCGACAGGGCCACTGCGCATCGCGCTGGAGGATGCGCCCGAAGAGGTTTCGTTTGTGCAGCCATCTATCTTCAGCACTCGTCTGGAGTTGGGGCCTCCAATTGGGGCATGTTGTCACCGCTTATCGTCGCAGCAGATTGGCAGATTGAGCCGGACAAGTTGATTCCCTGCGGTTGGCCTGCTGCAGTTGATGCGCGAGTTTGTTTATCCCTATCGTGGTACTTGTCGGCCGGCGAGTGGCATCATATATTTATGCGTGGCCAGTCTTTCCCCTCCAGTGAATGCGTCGCGAGCGCGCGAGCAGACGTCGCCGCGTCGCCGCGCTATCCAGTTCAGCTGAGACTCGAAGCCGCGCGAGCAGATGCGACTGTCCAGGTTGTGCGGGCGCCTCGGAGGTCCCCTGCTGAAGCGCCTGCTGGATGCGCGCTTCCTCCAGACATCGATCGGTGGAGCCTTTGAAGCGCGCAGATCGACCAATTCGGGACCGCCGATGCAAGCTGGAAGCTTTTTGCGCGCGCGTGCGAGGACGAGTGGCTACATGTGTTCCAGGTGGCTCCAGAGGACCCCCAGAAGCATCTCGGGCGATCTGTTGACCTCCGCACCACCAACAGGAGCCTCCGACAACCAGGTCGTTCGTCTGAGAAGTGCGTCCGGATCTTTAGCGCCTGGTCAGAGCATTCTACTGTCAGAGGTATGTCCATGGCAACCATGTTGTTCGATGTCAGGAAAGGTTTTGGGTTCGTCGAACACCATCGTGCGAGCCAGGCAGCCATCGAGACTGAGCTCCCGCCCTGGATGCTCAAGCTCTTGATTTCTATGTATCGTATGCCTCGCACGTTGGACATGCGCGGTTGTGCCAGCGACCTCATCGACGTTGAGCAGACCATCGTTTCAGGTTGCGACTTCGCCACTGCCCTGCTGCAGACGTTACTCCTGGGTCCGCTTCGTCACGCGCAGGCATCGCGCAGGTGCAATATGCTCAGCATCGATGTTGGTGGCTGTGGGCATCCGCCTCATGGCACCACTGCGCGGGTGGTTCGTGCGTTGGCAGTTGCGCCCATGTTGTCGCTCAAACTGCGATCCAAGGCCGAGATGAAGATAGCTGTGGACAAGAGCCGAGCCCTCTCCAATTCTATTGGCGCGCAGAAGGCATTGGCGAAGCAGCTGTCTGTTTCGGGAGCCAAGGCTGCCAATGCGGAGAGGTACCTTGGAGTCGATTTTGCTGCTGGTCGGGCGCGTGGCATGTCAAGAATCGGATTTCTGCAGTTACCCTGCGTCGCGCTTGACTGTCCACGCTCAAGACTGGCAGGCCTAGGCGCAGGATGCTTGGCACGATGTCTCGAGCGGCGCCTGTGGGCGCAGTCGCATCTAGCATACCAGTCTTGGGTCCCAACAGCGGGGAGCCCAACTAACTTCTTTCAGTTGCTGGCAAGCTCCAGGATCATCATCCCGATGGCAGGTCGAGGTTGCTTGCTTTCATGATCGCCCCTTCCAGGCGCCTCGATTCGTTTTTTTTTTTCAGGGCCGCGCGGCCCCTGCCAAGTTTTTTTTCCGGGCTTGGTTTGGAAGAGTGGCTCCAGAAAGGACCGTCGAAGCGGGCACCCTTGCTTCTGTTTGCCGCGCTCAAGGGCTTGCGTCACCGTGGTCGTCCATTCGGGGCCCCTTCTCTGCGTTCTATGCCGCTCTTAAACGCGTCGATGCCCAGGCTTGCTATATGTCTCAATGGGTCTTCCCAGGGGATGCCTCGTTAGATCCCTCCCAGATGCGCGTGTCCTTCCTGGGCAGGGTGGTTATGCATGCGTGTTACTTGTGGCAATGTGAGCAAGTTGCTGGCCATTAAATATTGCTGGATTTTTTTCCAGAAAGGGTTTCTTATTCAACCCATTGCCAAGTTCTTACAATCGAAATCCCCACCCGAGCAAAGGGCCGACTTGCGCTCATGTTTTGTTTGGGGCAATTCGCCCATATTCCGGCAATGGACCTGCGGGTGCGACGTTGCACCTTTCTGTCGACTGCGCAAAGATGTGAGAGAGATAGAAGGTTCTGGAATTCTGCTACTCCAGCTTTCGTAATAAAAGGGAGGGGGTCTGGATCCTCCAAGACGAGCCATTTCAGACCCCCCCCGTGGGAGAACCCTCCAAAACATCGTCCCCTGACCCCCCCAGGCCCTCCAAGATAGCCTGGAAGAGACCCCCCCGAAATGAGACCCCTCTCCTTTTATTTATTACGAAATCTGGAGTACACAGGCACACCGAGTGCAAGTGCACCCTACAGCTGGGAAAGGACACGCCGTCCTTCGCTCCGGGGCTCGGGGCCGCCGCCGCGAGCTCTCCGCTGGCTCCTGCCCCGGGCGAGCGCGGACTGGCGCCCCCGTTGCCCCTCCCGACCTCTCCTGGGCGCATCGCGATTTCTGGTTCCTGGGGCCCCCCGGTGGAGCTAGCTCGCTGAAGATCGATTCCTTGATTCGGGGGCGGAAAAGAGGGAGGTGATGACTAGATCATGGCGGGGGCCATGATTTTTCCCCAGATCTCGCGGCGCCTCTTCTTATCTCATTACGTCCCTGGCCCCCCCGCTGGGCCGCGCACGTGCCGCCGGTCATGATTTGCACCCCCCCCTCTTGGACACCCCCCTCTTGGCCGCTCCCGACTCTCCTGGGCGCATCGCGATTTCTGGTTCCTGGGCCCCCCCGGTGGAGCTAGCGCACTGAAGATCGATTCCTTGATGGGCCGCGTTTCGACGGAGATTGGCTTCGGTTTTCCCCCGCAGATGGGCTGTGGTTGCTCCGTTCCCGTATGCTCGCGTGCCGTGTTGCATTGCTTGCGGGCCTTTGATTGAGCACCTTTCCGCCGCTAGCTGAGCTCACTGCCTTGCGTTTTGCTTGTCGGAATCCGTTGCCAGGGAGTTGTTTTCAAACAGATTGCGAATATGTTTGGAAAGGATTTGACAAGCGAGGCAATGATGACTGCTGTCATCCCATGCCCCCCCCACTCCCACACATTTGTTTGTCGCGAGGTGCGGCGCTTGATTGCGGACGGGGACGAGGAGTTAACTGGCCTTGTTGCGAAGATAGAAGCGAACCCTCGGTTCAGTGACTTTCGCGTTGGCCACGCCTCCAAGGGTCATGCTGCAGGTGATGTGCTGGCCGATCGTTTCGCCAAGTGGGCTGTTCAGGCCGCCAGAATCCCTGAGCTCCAGCGAGATGACATAACCAACCGAGTCAAGATCCTAAAGTTTTGGTGCAAGTGGATTGCCAAGGTTGGGGAGGTCTCACGACACGTTCCGCCCGCGGCAGGTCCGGAGAGCTCACCCTCCCCAATTACGCTTCGCTCTCGCCCAGGACTGCCCAGCCTCTCTGCCCGAGCGTGCCATCTCGTTCTCTCGCGGCTGTCGTGATGCTGGGCTGAGTCCTCACCAGCTTGTTCTTGTTGCCTGCTGACGGAAGGTGTCCCTTTTGTCGGCTGCTCATGGTGTGCTGCTCTTTGCACCGATCGCCTCATTTCTCTGTCTACGTAAGCTTTGCAAATCCCAGAACGCGTTTTGGGGCGTCAAGCTTTGGAATCGGCTGCGCAGGGGTGAAAAGAGGCACGCCGGCAGAGGCGAGTTGGTGCGTGTGAGTGAGCTTGCCCCTCTTGCACTTGGCTGCCTCGTTTGCTGTTTTTTTCAGGTTGTTCGTCAGAGCATCTCTGGCGCGCAATGTTGTGCGCAGGAGTAGGAAGAGGAGGAGGAGGAGGAGGAGGAGGAGGAGGAGGAGGAGGAGGACGAGGAGGAGGCGGAGGAGGAGGAGGAGGGGGACAGGGAAGAGGGAGGAGGGAATAGGGCCGAGGGGGGAAACTGAGGAAGATGGACAAGTCAGGGAGGGAGGGGGAAGATAGGGAGAAGGAGGGGGAGCAGGAAAATGAGCAGGATCAGTCACCTACTTGAAGTTTGCCCCGTCTCCCCTGCCGCTCCCAGGCGTGGGAGGCCCCCGTTAGCATGGGCGAGAACCAGCGGGACGGGCCCGTCCGCCAGATCGTCCGCGTGTGAGCTGCCCCCCAAAAATGAAACGGAGGAAATTGCAGAGTAACAGCAGTTTCAGGAGAGGTATGGGGCAACGATAAGGGGGGCAGGCTCAGGGGGAGGCGCATCGACCCCCAATCACCCATTGATCGCCGACAGGGGCCCGTTAGCCCGCCCTGTCTGGGACCCTTCGGCTTCGATGTCAGGGCATGTCGCCGATCCATCGGCCATCGGTGATGCATCGCCGATTCCAATCCGATGCCCCCGCCCTAAAGCTCTCTTCGGTAGGGATGAAACGAGCAGGGGGGGGGAAGGGTACACACGGGTTTCGACGTATCTCGCCTCTGTCCTCCTGGAGGGGGGGGAGAGGGCCTCGCGGCTGGATCCGCCCTGAGGGTTTGATCTAGGGCCCAGGGCGCGCTCTAGAGCTACGCCAAGGACCGACGGCGAGGGAAGGAGCCAGCAGCAGGAGGAACACGGAGAAAGAGGTGGAGGAGGAGCTCGCCTGCCGCAGGTCGGCTCAGTCAGTTCGCTTGGTTCGCCTGGCGACCTCTCGGTTCGCATTGCAGCTGCCACCTCGTCGAGTCAAGCGGGGCTGATCGCGCTCCGCACTCTTCCTCCTCCTCCACCTCCTCCTCCTCCGCCACCTCCACCTCCTCCTTCTCCCCCCAAAACGAAGGACACGAACCAGCGAGAAGCAGGAGAGGACCCCAACCTTTCTCCGAGCCTCACGCCGATCGCTGCCGCAGCCCGCGCGGCGCGCGACCGCAGAGGTCGGCAAGGGTCCCGCAGCCGGGGGCCTTCTCGATCCGACCGATCGGACCGGACCTGAACTTTGGGCTGCTCGATCCGACCTCCTCCCCCTCCTCCTCCCTCCTCCTCCTCCTCCTCCTCCTCCTCCTCCTCCTCCTCCCTCCCCCTCCTCCTCCTCCTCCTCCTCCTCCTCCTCCTCGTCCTTCTCCTCTTTCTCTTCCCTCGTGCTCCTCCTCCTTCTCCTCCTCCTCCTCCACGTCCCTCTGTTCTCCCCTCTCCTCCTCGGGTCCTGAGGGTCTTCACGGTGGTCGGGATCTCGGGGCTCTCCACGGGCCCCAGGGCCGCGAAAAAAAAAACGACCAGAGGGGGTCCCAGGGGAGGGCCCCCGGGGTCCAGGGCCCCTTTCCCCGCCGGACCCCGTTCCGAGGCGGCGATCCGGTGTGGCCCGAGGTTTGCACCGTGCTGTTTTCTGCAGCCCCATGCGGCCGGCCCGACTCGACTGCGACTCCGCGCCCGAGGCCGCCCGGTCCGAGGCACTCTCTGACTCGATTCGTCCTCCCTGACGAACGAGCAACACACACACACCCATACCCATAGGGAGGTCGTTGGGGGGAGGACTGGCTATGGGTATGGGTGCGGGTTGTCGGACCCTGGGGAACGCTCCCGTTCGAGCGGGGATCACCATCCGACAACACGCACCCATAGCCCTCTCCGACCCCTCTTCTATGGGTATGGGTGTGTGTTGTTGGTTCGTCATTCCCCATCCGATGCCGACCGAGCCTGGAAAGAGGAAGAGGTCTCGGGAGGTCCCCCCGCAGCGTTCTGGAGTTCCCGGGAGGCCCAACACCAGAAACGCCTAAGATCTTCCTCCCTCGACCCAGACCCCCGATGTCTCTGGGGACCGGTTCCTCGTCCCCGAAAGTTTTCGCCACGGTCCCGCGGCCCGTCGAAGGCCCCCAGATGCCGAACACTGCGAAATTGTTGGTCTTGTTGTTTGTGAATTTCCGTTTTGTCTGTCGAGTACGTTGGAGGTTTGGGCAGTTTCGGTCTTCGATGGAAGGAGGAGCAGGAGGTGCAGGAGGATCCGACGCTGACTGATCCTGCCCGCAGCCGTCTCACCCTTCGGGGCCTCAGAGGAGCGCCGCCAGAGACGCCCGTGTGCAACGGCGCGGGGCTCGCCGCCGGCTTGAGCCGAGCCTTAGGCGCGGCCTCGCACAGGGGGACGGGGCAAGGGGGGGCTGCCCCATACGAGGCTAGGGTCAAGGGCTCAGGGGAAATGAGATGCCCAGAGGAGGGTACGGACGTGTTCGTCGGTTCCTGGAGGTTTTCCTGCCGCGGGGTTCGCTTCAGCAGATGCGCCTCGCCGAGAGGCTTCCAGGGCTGCCCAGGTCGTCCCGAACGGCCGCCAGGGACCTGAATTACGACCCGACACGGGGCTGCAGTCAGGGGCAACGTTAGACTGGGATCTGCCCATGGAGGATGCATCCCCCAATCACCAACTGTTCGCCGATAGGAGCCTGATAATCCGCCCCGCCCTGGACCGTGCGGTTTCGCTATCGAAACCTCTCGCCGGTCTGTCGGCGACGTATCGCCGAATCCAGCTGGAAGTTTCCCCCCTTCAGCCGGTCTGCCCCCCCCCCCCCCTCCCCTACTACGTATTCACCCCCCCCCGACCATCAATGCCCTTCACAGGAGGGTTTGTCAGGAAGCCCCCTTTGCCCTCTCGGCGGCCTTCTTTGGAGCATCGGAAGTCTGGGACCTCACCCCGGGGCCGTCGCTGCCAGTTTGGAGCCGAAGAAGAAACAGCAACGCGCCGCCAGGGGGAGTCCAGAGTGAACCCAAGATATCCGCGCGGACCCCTCCGAAATGATGTGCATGTTTGACGTTATGTTTTGTCCGCTGCTTCTTCTATAGAAGCCCCCCCCCCTCGCCCCACCTCCCTCTGCGCGCCGCCACAGAGAGCACCCGCCTCTGCGACTTTACATCAGCCTTGAAAGGAGGCTGGACGAGCACCCTTCATTTTGGCACTGCGACTCGGACGCTCACTGGGAGGGAAGGAAGGTGTGGCTGCGTTTGATCATGCTAGCTGGTCGTTCCTCTCCTCCCCTATCCCTCCCTGGGAACGTCGTCATCTCCGTCATAATCCTCCTCACTTCTCCTGCGTATATTCATCGCCATCTCTCCGTTGCCTCCCTCACCTCGCGTCCTCGTCCTCACCCCCTCCTGCCGGCGGACTGTTTTAGCACACTCCTCACGATTAGTCATTTTATTGGAACGCGGGCAATTTTCACCATTCGGACTTTAAGCAAACATGACATTCCCTCGTACGTTCAAGACGCTGAAATATATCAGTTTTCAAGCATTATTCCCTGTGCTCGTGTTTCTGGGGATCCAGGGTGGCCGCTCCTCCTTCGTCGTCTGATCTATCAGCACGCTCAAGTTTTTTGGGCTTGAGGGATTCGGGTACGGGCTCTCGCTTTCGCCCCCCCTCGCGCCCGGTGGGCGCCCACCCGCGGCGCGGCCGCGGCTGGGGCGCATCTCGCGCTTCGGGAGGGCCCCTGCGGGCCCGGGGCGGCGCCCTAGCGCCACCACGGCGCAGCGCGTGGCCCACGCGCTGTTCTGGACGGTCTTCGTGGTCCTGGGCTTCACCGACCAGCCGCGGCCGCTCGACGGTGACGACGCGGAGGAGGTGGCCTTGCCTGCGACCAACGAGGACGTGGAGTACACGGAGAGGGCTCACGAGGGCGATCGTGGGATGTTCCCTTGGAAGACGATGCCGTTCAAGAAGTGGAATCGGCTCTACTGGAGAAGCAGCAAGGACGGCCCCGCGGGCGTGGTGATGCTGCTCCTCGAGAAGGCTCCGGCGAGCGCGGGTCGCGCTGGCGAGTGGATGGCTCTGGACCCGACGGGGCGGGTGCAGCTGATCAACCCCAAGGACAGGCACCACGCCAGTACACGGCCCAAGGCTGGGGTCACCTACTCGGACCACGCAGGCCTCAGCTCTCACGACAAGGAGGAGGCGGAGCAGGCGAGCAAGCGGCTGCTCGACAGGATGAAGGGTGTGACGATCCCGGCTTCGCCGAAGAAGAAGCCTCCTCCGAAGTCTGGGAAGCGCCGCACCGTCCTCCTGCCCAGCCTCTCGGCCACCAAGGCGGCGGCCTCGGTCGGGGTCTGGGCTTGGGCTCGGCGCAGCTGGGGCCCGTTGGCGGGCGCCGGCATCCTGGCATGGCGGGCGTGGAGCTACAACAGCATCTATGGGTGGCTGGTCGCCATCTACCAGAAGTACGAGCAGGGGCGCGAGTGGTTCGAGTACTTCGGCGAGCTGGGCGACAGCATCGGGCAGATGGACGAGAGCGAGGAGCTCGACGCGCTCATCCTGGCCCTGGTCTGGATCGGCCTCGCGGCGTGGTGGTTTTTCGGCTTCGGCGGCGGCTCGGTCGGCACCGACTTCGAGGGCTCGGAGAGCGACGGCGACTCCGCCGAGAACGAGCCGGTTTCGGATGGGGAGTCGACGGACGAGCCAGGCTCGACTGCCCTCATGGAGGCCGTCCTCGCGGGGCAGCAGCAGATGTCGGAGCTGATGCAGTCCATCAAGGAGCTGAAGGAGAACTCCCCCGCCGCCACGGATGCGCCGCCTCGCGGCGCCCGTCGCAGGCGGGACGACGCCCAAGGCGAGGACGAGGAGGAGCTCATCGAGCCTTCGAGGGACCAGATCGAGGGGTTGCTGCGGAAGCTGCAGGAGCACGAGAGGGTCGTGGAGGACGACAGCGCTCGGGCCACCAGGGGATCGGCATCGGGGGCACCCAGCCTCTCGACCTCGCACGGCTTCGAGCTCGTGGGGGGCCTCGGCGGCGGCTCTGCCGGGTCGCCGCAGTTGGGATCGCTCAGGACGCGCATCAGCGAGCTGGAGATGGAGTCCCGCAGCCCCCGCGGGATGATGATCAACGCGCTCGAGCGCTTCGACCTTTCGGCCGACCTCGGGCGCGTGGGCGAGATCCAGACTGGGGTCGCTCCCGAGCTCACGCGCCTCTATCGCGGCGGCCGTGAGGCTCAGGCCGAGCTGCGGGAATGGCTGCGCAGCAATGAGCTTGACAGCTGAGGCGCGGCGGCGGAGGTCCTTGTCCTCGGCATGGCCCTCGACCGCATGCTCGAGACAGAGCCCCCGGCCTCCGTCGTCAACTCGAGGGCCGCGGAGCTGGTCTGCTTGAGGATCTCCACAGCCTCATGAAGGCGCTCGACAGGGTACAGAAGAAGGACGACTGGTTGCGCCCCAAGAGTCAGGCGGGGGCGAAGTGGAAAAGCAAGGTCGACTGGGCGTTAGCGGAGCAGTACTTCAGGCTCGACAAGAGCGAGCATGACATTGATGCGGCGGACGACGAGGTGACCGAGAAGCTGAAGCGGAAGGCGCTCTTCCAGAAGCACTCGGGGTCAGTCTCGTCCTCCGCCGCGGGCGAGGATTGACGGTCTAGCCGTCCCTTGGTGGCGGGGCGGTTCAAATTCGGAAGTCCACCCGAGCGGGGGAGGTCGCTCCTGTTCCTCGTCTCGTTCGTCACCTACTTCGTGCACTGGCTCATCTTCGGGCCCTTCAGCTTCCAGTTCAGCGTGGGCTGCTGCGCTGCTGCCCGCGGTCGGCGCGCAACGCGCTCCGTCTGCGCGGCGGCTTCGGCGCGCGCCGCCCCCAGGGGCTCCTCCGACGGGCTCCCAGTTTTGGAGGTCGAGCGGGTTGTCGTGCATTTGCTCGCTCGGCCTGGTCGCGATCCAGTTCGTCGTTGCGTCCCAGGACGGCGCCAACGGCAGGGGGGCCTCCGAGCTCGGCCCGGGGCAGGCGCGCGGGCATCGAGATCCGCTTGGAACGCTACCTTTTATACCAGTGACGTGGTGCGCTCCCTCGGGCGACACGTTGAGCGAGGCGCAGCGGCGCGTTGCCTGGCTTCGGGCCAACCGCGCAGCGGCTGCGCTTCGAGGGCTCGGCAGGGGGCACTTCGAGGAGCTGAAGGACTGGGAGTCGCACGTCATCAAGGGCGAGTGGGACCGGTCAACGTTCTTGAAGAAGGAGATTGTTCGCCGTGTCTGGAGCGAGCAGAGCAAGAGGGCCTCCTGGGGCTCCGTCGACGACGGCATGGCGGTTTTGCGCCGCTTGGGCGAGAAGCCCTCCGTTGGCTATGGGAGCGGCTCTGCCTCGGAGGCGGGGGGGGAGGAGCAGCTACAGAGAGGGGCCTTGTGCCCGTTGAGAGTGCGCGAGGTCGATCTTCCTCCGAAGAAGTTTCGAGGGGTCAGCGCGAAGGAGCTGGCGCGGTCGGCGGCCGCGTGCCTCGAGGAGCCCGGGCATCTCATGCTGAACACGGGGTCAGAGATCGATGCGAAGGAGCATTACAAGATCAAGCCGCACGAGGCGCCCGAGCTCAAGCAGGGCAACGCCCGGCTGGAGCTGGCGCTGAAGATGTGGGAGTCCAACATGCTGCAGTACGTGGACGAGGTGCGCGAGAAGCTCTCGGTCTTCACGGTCGTCAAGAAGGTGGATGGGGAAAGGCGTCGACAGGAAGGTAGTCTCTCCTCTGGTATGGGACGCGCGTCGGGTCAATCCGCACTTCAAGGCGCCCCCGTGGGTTCCGCTCGGCTCTCCAGCGGCGTTGGCCGAGATCGACCTCGGGCCCGACATCCTCGGGGACAAGCAGTTTTTGACCTTCCAAGGCGACGTCCCCGTGATGTTCTACCCGCTGAAGAACCTGCCCGAGCTCTACCCCTACTTTGTCTTGGATGGTGCGGGGCCGTGGGAACTGTGGCAGTTCGCTCAAAGTCAAGGAGTCGATATACCAAGACCGCCCGACGGTGCGGCAGGCGTCGCCTGCTGCGTGGTACCGATGGGCTGGAGCTGGGCCGTTTTCTCTGCGCACGCCTCGCTCACCGACTGCTTCGACGACGAGGAGGCGACGGGGGGCGCTCGGGTCGAGCATGCCAGCCCCGTCCCCTCGCTGCTGGAGCACCGCTTGCTGTGCTGGCTCTACATCGACGACTACTGGGGCGGGCTCGCCGGCGACGACGAGAACGACCCCGCCCTGCACGAGGCAGCGGCGGAGGCCAAGCAGGTGATCGAGAAGAAGGGCCTCGCGGTTCACAAGGAGGCCGCGGGGCGTGGGCTCCCCGAGCAACTCGGGATCACCATCGGCCCCAACACGCTGAGGTGCCGAGTGAAGGGGGAGAAGATGCGGGAGCTGGTGCTGGCCACCGAGGCCCTTGCCCTCCAGCAGTCCGCCCCGCCCGCCTTGCTCGAGGTCGTGATGGGGCACTGGGATTGGGCCATGATGGTAGCTCGTCCAGCCTTCGCCTTTCCCAGCGCCATCTACGCCTGGATCCACGAGTCCGACGACCGCCTGAAGCCGATGAACCTCTGGGAGGACGTCAAGGCCGAGCTCGTCGCGCTGGCCGAGCTGTCTATCTTCTTCTTCTCGGACTTGGGGCTATCGTGGCACTCGCACGTGTTCATGACGGATGCAAGCAACTACGGGTACGCGGTCATGAGTTTGGCGGCGTCATCCGACTCGCAGAGAGCCGAGGCCCGCTGGGCCAGGCAGCAAGGCTGGGGAGTTCGGGTCGACACGGCCTACTCGCAGAGCGAGTGGCGACACGCAGCCAAGGACGACTTGTTCTACGAGGAGTGCGAGGACGCGACGGGCTTCAAGGCTACGGGCAGACCTGGCATGGTCGAGCTCTTCGCGGGCTCTGGCACGCTGGCGGAGGCCTGTCGAGTTGGAGTGCCTGCTTGGGTCGAGGCGTGGGAGATCGACAACGGCGACCGGTGCGACCTGCTGAACCAGGCCATCGTTGCGAGGTTCATGCTCAGGCTCCGCCAGGGCGAGTTCTGGTGGGTCCACGCAGGCCCGCCGTGCGCCACCTTCTCGCGGGCCCGGACCCCCAGGTTGAGGACGCCAGACCACCTGTTTGGTGTCCCTTGTTGGGGGCGAGCGGACCGCAGGAAGGTGAAGGACGGTGCCATGATGGCGATGGTCGCGATCGAGTCTTGTGTGCTGGCAGCCACTTTAGGGATCTTCTTCACCCTCGAGAACCCGCTAGACAGCCTCATCTGGCAGCTGCCCGAGATGCAAGCGCTCGAG